ATCGAACAACACCAGGGCCGGACAGGTTAAGACCAGAACACCTGAAGAACATTCCGCCAGCCCACGTAAACACACTGGCTCGGCTCTTCACACATTACCTGTCTGAATGCAAGGTACCTACTCAGTGGAAGACCAGTAAAACCGTGTTATTGTTCAGGAAGGGTGACCTGCACGATATCGGCAGCTAGCGCCCAATCTGCTTCCTGTCTGTCGTCTACAACCTTTTCATTCGAGTCGTCCTAAACAGAGTTGACAGAACACTAGGCCAAGGACAGCCATGTGAGCACGCAGGGTTTCGAAAAGATTTAGTACGATGGACCACATCCAGGCGGTAACACGGCTCATTGAAGTATCACGAAAGCACAAAAGACCGCGCTGTCTCACTTTCATCGGTTTACGGAAGGCCTTTGATTCAGTTGAGATAGCAGCAGTCATGGAAGCCCTTGATAGTCTAGGAGTCCCACTCAGTACATAAAGATTCTTCGTGAGCTGTAGAAAAGTTTCACAACCAAGATATCACCATTCTACAACGATATTAACATTGACGTCGAAAGTGAAGTTAGGCGAGGCGGTACCAACTCGCCAAAATTATTTACCGCCACCCACCAGAACGTCATGCAAACATTGGAAATGTATAATATGGGAGTGAAAATCGACGGTCCGCAGCTACACCATCTTCGCTTTGCTGATGACATCGTCCTTATAACACCAAACATTAGCCAAGCGGAACCTATGGTTGACGACTTTAACGAAGCCTGTGAAAAGATTGGTCTTGGACTAAATCTCAAAAAAACGATGTTCATGAAGAACGGATTGGTTTCGTATGCCCTATTTACGCTCAACGGAACGAATGTCTCCGAATGCTCCAGTTACACCTATCTAGGCTGTGAAATAAATATGATGAACGACCTAGCTCCAGAGCTGAGGAGAAGGAAACGAGCGGCTTGGGGAGCTTTCAAGAACATCGAAGATGTAGTGAAGAGAACAAAGAACACTCGACTCCGTTTCCCTCTTTTCGACTCAACGGTGCTTCCTGCGCTAACGTATGCGTCAGAAACCTGGTCGCTGCGTAAGCAGGATGAAAGATCACTCAGCGTTATCGAATGCGCAGTCGAAGGGACGATGCTAGGAGTATCTCGGTTCACACAAGTAAAGGATGGGATTCGAAGCTCCGATCAGCGTCAACGATCAAAAATCAAAGATGCCGTTCTGTACCCCAAACAGTAGAAGATAAGGTGGGCCGGACACGTAGTGCGTATGGATGACAACCGATGGACAAGAGCCGTTAGTGGCTGGATCCCTCGGGATGTCTAACGTACGGCAAGAAGACCACCAACCCGATGATTCACAAGGAGCCTTGATGAATGATATGATGCTCGACGAGTCCCTAGAGCAAACATAACCCACTGGACCACTCTTGCACGCAACATAGAAAAATGGAAGACTTACTGGCTCCCGCTCGAGTCACTCGACGATCAGCAGGACTACAGGTGATACAGGTGACAGGTAGATATAACTAGAGCATTCGAAGGTATTCGTTTCGTTCAGCTTGAATTGGACATGCGAAACCAATCCGATCCGTTCCTCATGAACATCGTTTTTGTGAGATTTACTCGAAGGCCAATCTTTCCATAGGCTTTACCAAAGTCGTCAAGCATACGCTCCGCTTGGCTAATGTTTGGTGTTATAAAGACGATGTCATCAACAAAGCGAGGATGATATAACTGCCGACTATCGATTTTCACTCCCATATTATACATTTCCAGTGTTTGCATGACGTTCTGGAGGGTAGCGGTAAATAATTTTGGCGAGACGGTATCGCCTTGCCTAACTCCTCTTTTGAAGTCAATGTAAATGTCGTTGTGGAATGGTGATATCTTGGTGGTGAAATTTTTGTACAGCTCACGAAGAATCTTTATGTACTGAGTAGGGACTCCTTGACTATCAAGGGCTTCCATGAGTGCTTCTATCTCAATTGAATCAAAGGTCTTCTGTAGATTGATGAAAGTGAGACCGAGCGGTCATCTATTGCGACACTTCAATAAGTCTCGTTATCGTGTGGATGTGGTCCACCGTACTAAATCCTTTTCGAAGCCCTGGTTGATCATATGGCTGACCTTCGTCCAGTTTTCTGTCAATCCTATTTAGGATGACTCGAGTGAAAAGTTTGTGGACAACAGACAGGAAGCAGATTGGGCGATAGTTGCCGATATCGTGCAGGTCACCCTTCTTGAGCAATAACAAGGTCTTACTGGTCTTCCACTGAGAAGGGCCTTGCATTCAGACAGACATGTGTAAAGAACCGAGCGAGTGTGTGTACGAGGACTGGCGGAATGTTCTTCAGGTGTTCTGGTCTTAACCTGTCCGGACCTGGTGTTGTTCGATTTCTCACCGACGAAATGGCATGTCGAATTTCGGAAGGGGGAGCCGGTAGTACAACATATCCTTCCTCTATTTCATATGACTGTGGCTATCGAAAAGATCCAAGTATTATTCGCGAATGATTTTCTCTATTAACTTTCTTGCCACTGTAACTGTTTCGTCTGAGCGTCGGAGTGCTATCATCTTGGTCTTGAAATTGGCGAAGCTTCGGTGATGGGCTTTGCGAATGCTTTTCGCAGCAGCCTCTGCCATTTCGACTATTACTGCTGCTCTTCTCTCTTGAAGATCTTGCTTTATCGCCTGTCTTCATTGTTTTGCGAGTTCGCACGTTCGCTCGCTGTTGCCTGCAGCTCGTGCGGTTCCACGCTGGCGTATCAACTCGAGTGTTACTGGAGACAAACGTCTTTTGGTTACTTTCGAACTCTCAACTTTCATAGCGCTATCGTGAAGATGTTGAGTGAACCGATCGTATACTTCGTCAATGATGTCGACAACGGCACCTTCCTTACAGCCGTTGTGGTTCTGGGACTTCGGTTTTGGAATTCGGCGGCTTTTTCTCCTTTTCGCGGGGAATAGAATCTTGCACGATGGGAACGATGTAGATTCCATGATTTCCATGTAGAATTTTGGAACAACAGCGACATCGGTTAGGCAAAACCTTCTATTTACTATGATGTGCTCTGTTTCGTTATGGTAGTCTCTATTGGGAGACTCCCACGCCCGGCGCTGAGTGTGGGGATTCTGGAATTGCGAGTTACCATGAATTGTCTTCGTCGCCATGATAAACTCAGTCGGCCGTTCACCCTGTTCGTTCCATTTTAAGCCGTTGGTCCCAATGTGATATTCTTCAGACGTTGTTCTTGTCCCAATCTTGGCGTTGAAATCTTCAATGATGACCTTGAACAATGTGTGGTCTTCTCTGTAGAACTTCTCCAAATCCATATTGAACGCTTCGACCTCTTCTTCGTCACAGTTTGATGTCGGCGCGTGAACGATGAATATTGTCAAATCCGGAATTGACCCACATCGTTTCAATCGTAAACGTCCGATTCGGGTTGTTTGTTGTTCGAATGAATCAATGTTCATGGACAAACTCGTGATGACGAGAACACCAATGCCGCCGGCTTGTCTACTGTTGCATGCTCCGAGGAACAGTTCTTCTCCTGTGTCAAAGACGGCGTTGAAAGGCTGGCGCCTTCTCGTCTCGGCCAGGCCGATGACGTAGTGCTTTATCCTTCTTGCCTGCATAGGCAAGTCTTTTATCGAGGACCCGGATGCAAGTGTACGTGCATTGTAGGTACAGATCGTCACCATAGTTCTTTGAAATCCAGGCATCTTCCATTGGCCAGAAGATTTTATCTGCCTCTACGTACGTCCTACCAAACGCTGCAAAATTGGGGGCTCTTTCATGGTCAGGGAATAAGGCCTGTTTTCTTTACTGTGTTTATCATTTTTGATACCCACGTACAGCCTGCTGAGCACTGAACGAGGGGGCTGGGTATACTCACGCGTAACTTGCCAGGCCCTTCCGAAGGTGACGTGGAGGTCGTTTGTTGGAGGCGACTCCTAACCGCCTCCCATATATTTACCTACCACAGTCACTTGATTGCAGGCTTTTGCCCGAATTGACTCGTAGAATACAATTCGCATAAGCAAGAACGCACCCGCACACGCATGCATGGATACGCTTAGAGTTTATTGAGTTTATGGGTCAGACTTTAGCCAGGCTGACCTCGAGGTTCCAGGGAACTACAATAGCTTAACCAGCAAATTTCCAAAAAATGAAGACTATGCTGTGGCCCGCACAACCAGTGAGGACGGGCCATTCAAGTATCAAGTATTGAGCTTATTTCGGCGTCCGATTATATCCGCACATTTCGTACAATGACATTAGTGAATAAAATGAAGTAGCAGTTAATTGCTGGCCAAATTACCGGTCAATGAGCTTCTCTTCAGAAAAAGGTTTTTATAAATCATTAAATGTAGGGAATCGTCCTTCTAGTCTCATCACTACTATTTTTACGTGCTTTTCAATAGCTGTCGAATGAATAAATATGTTACAATCGCACTTGTGCCGTTCGATAAGCTTTCGCATCGCGGTAGCTTCACCACATTTTGCAAAAAATGAAAGCTTCCCGATGTCCGTGCTGAATTTTAAAACACGGTAAGCAATATGTTGAATGTAAGACGACATGGTTAGCCTGACCGTAATGTTACGTATTCCATCAATCCTACATAAGAAACCTTCAGAAACCCAAAATAAAGTTACTTTGGATAATGAGGTTGAGACGTAGCAGAATAGTTGCACAGTGCAATAATGAGTAAGGCTACAATTAGATTGGTCTCTTTCACTTGTCACTTTACTCATACACTGGCATTACCAGCAGGTGTACCCTTGCAATCAGCTGTTGGAAGATTCAAAGTTTTGGGATTTAAAGAAATCATTTACTTTCGTTTTTTCTAGAAGTTATCTTTAACACAAAGCCTCTGCTCGTTCGGTTGAAATATATTTTGCGTTCATTAAAACGATTAGACAATTGAGGACTGAACAAAGTACACATCAATTAAGTGGATTTTTATCTTATATAACCCAAATACAAGATGCGGAAATAAATCTGTTATGCAGTTCCGGGTGCAACATAGCCAATAACTCCACACGCAAGGCGAGCGCCAGCATTGCCTACTGTGCGACTTCCTGCGTCACCGCCTCTCCCTAGATCGTCTACTCTTTCATGGATTACGAAAGCTCGTCCGACAACACCACGACGTCCTGTGAAAGTAATGAGCGAATCCTCGATGTTGATCGGCGTTGGACCGCTTGCCTTAAAAGTGATTTGCAGAACGTCAGTGATTGCGCAAAACTTGTTTTAGAACATCATCAATATAAGAAAAAAGGAGAACGGTGCCCTCATAGAGATAGACTACAACATTTCCTACTACCATGATAGCTGATAGTTCAGTGGTTAACTTATTTTAATAGGCTTAACACTGTTAGTGAGCTAAAGTTTTGTACATTTCTGCCCTCATCTCCCATCGTTTCGTGTTAATAGAAAATGGAAACTATAGGATGATTGAGAACAAAGTTTTCATATGTTACAGAAATGAAAACTTTGCACAAAATTCAAAAGCCTCACAGGTGTCATGATGCTTCCAAGATCCCCAACGTGTCGTGCAGAGGGTGGATCTGCTGGACTACCGTGATCTGACCCGAATGGATTATAGTGCGCTCCAGTGGCTAAACAACCATTTCCAAGGTCGCCGAATTCGTGAACGTGAATAGCATGAGGGCCTGGAGGCAACCCATTTACACTGCCTATGATCTGAACGACAATTTGACTTTAAATGATCATCTTCTCACTGAACATAACGAGTCGAAAAATCTGCGACCCTACCGTCACCATTCCATTGCTTTCTGTCAAGCTGAGAGTTCCAACTACATTTGTTGGATTACCACCGGGAACAGCTTGGAAAATTAGAGCAACAGCTCTTGGAACTATAAACAATAATCAATGCATTTTCATTAATTTTCATCCATGCGTCTTTCTAAAGAATAATTACCAATCCTCAAAATGTTATTAAAGCACCGGAAGTTTGATTTTTGATCTTTTCTGTGAGTGATGCTACTTAACTGAGCATTCCATTGAGCTTATGTTAGCTTAAAAAATTTAAATCACTTTCCAAATGAAGAAGACGCATCTCACGTCCTGTAGATCTTTTTGTTGTATAGTTAACGGCTAATTTCACCTCGAACAGAGCAAGTTGTCATTGGAATAAGAGCTAGCAAGACGAAGAGCAGCATCGTTGTTACAGAAGATGAGTAGCACTGAAGCAACGGACCTTACTGGAGCAAAGAAGCAAACTTTATTGTTGCTAACGCTTAGCCAGAAGGGATATAAATACGGTAGCATTGAACTCGTAACGACCTTGATGTTTGTGTCACCTCCCACTTGATATTATGACGCACAGATTGAGATCGAAACTGTAGAAATTCAGCACGGTTTGAAACACAGATTAGAGATTACTAAGAATCTTCATTTTTTTTCTACGAATTGTGAACCAACCATTGATAGCTTGGGAACATCTCGACGGTCGCCATAATATTTCATCTACGATGGAACTTGACTGTAAATATGAACTTGAAGCTTTCTAATGCGTGGGTTAACTCCCCTTCTCAACCCTTAAGGAGCGTCGTTGGTTTTCCTCATACTTCTGACAAGTTTTACTTGATGGGTTGAAGACATCTTATAGAAGAAACTTTTTTATACCTTTAAGAGCTAGCACTGGTTTAAAACCGCGATTTGAGTGCTATAGTTGACTGGAATTAAAAATCCTAAATGAAACAAAAGTCTAACTGAAGTTTCCAAACTTCCAAACTAAACCTTGACAGGCTTGGCAGACAAAGCGTGTTGAAACAAGCGTTCATGTCCTGTACGCGAAGATTATTGAACTTTTTAGACGTAGAGAACATAGAGAAAGCATTTTATTGCAATTCTTTGATGTTAAACCGGTTGCTACTTTCGTAGAGTGAGACCGGAATTCAACTCACGTAAAGCGCCAGATGTCGAAAAGAGCGCTTTATCCTTTACCCCTTTACTAACGCTAAAACTTTTCGAGAAAATCATGCCACTTGATTGAAGTTATACTCATACATACTACAAAGTTAACACCTCGAAAGATTAGATGAACCCTTTGGCGCTGCTTCGCTGTTGTTTTGGTAGTTTAAGAGTCGAACTATTAGACAACCGTGGTCAGTAACACCTACGCTGCTCCATTTTACATTCTTTCCTCATTTCATTCCAAAACATGAACTTTTATGAAAACTATTGCCTAAATGCAATTTATGTTAGTTGAATTAATAACCGATTGCGATGACAACGTACTTTAACGTATTTAGTAACTTTTTATAGTAGAAAACAAGTTTCCAGCACAGGTGAACACCTGCTCGCTTTCCACATCATTCCTGATTTCGAACTTCATTTTGCCTGAATGAAGTTATGAAATGCACTAGAATAAAGAATAGAGTTGATAAACATCTGTGGGCAGCGTATTTTTCAATATCACTACGTGTAATGAGAATTCTGAAAGTCTGTACTGTGATAGCATTGCGGACATTCACAACAATAATATAAAAATTTCTAAAGTTTCATCGATCAACGATTAAATTCAGTAGAACAGAAGAAAGAGGCACTCAGTGCAGAGAATTATACCTAAGAACAGCAGCAACGCATTTGTTTATATCGTTGAGCTTACACGAGGATGATACGAGATGTTTATTCGGCTAACGTTTCGACGACTTCGGCTTCATCAGAGCCGACGATCCTTGCCGGTGGTCCACAGTTGCAGTAAAAACACAGTTAAATTGTGCAGTGGTCTGCTGTTTGGACAGTTGGCCACATGAGATTGATAAAATGTCATGTTCGTTAATTTTATATGTTATTTCAGCTTCCTACAGTCGATTATGCCTTATCGGATAAAGAATTGAAAAGTGTGAAGAAAGGTTGCTCGCGGAAAACATTCACTGATATCGTGGCTAATTGATAGCCTGATATGGGGTTGTTACGAAAGTTCACTGTTGCTGATGTTTCGAGGGCATTATATCCCTAGGACCCAAAACAGTTTCCGCTGAAGGCCTGGAGAAATTAGTTGCGATGTGTATGACCCTTCGGTGTTGCATCGAATTGAATCTAATAAAGTCAACACCTCTGCAGGCATTTTGTCAATCACTTCTGCTCAGAGATAGGAAGAATCTCTGATTCCTGAGACATACAGTTGTTACCTTAATTATCGTGGAAGTTCTCATAAATATAAGATTCAGGCCTGTGGAGCCTTTTATCCAGCAAAAGATGTGGTCTATCGCCTTCAGCGTAGGTTGTGCTCACAAGTGATCTTTTATGACAGTCGATGGTGCTCCTCAATACTGAACATTCTTCGATTTCGTCAAAATTCTATGATGATGCGATGCTCTTTAGATTCAACTATGTTATCTGCTCGACTTCTGATGAATTAACTAAGGCTGTGAATTTGCCTATTTGGATAGTTAGAAGGTTCTACGAGCTTTACTAGCCGTGGTACACCTCGCACTTGCTCCTGTCCCATTATTTGATTACTTCGGGCAAAATTTCTACTGATGGTCCAGCTGTGAACAGCCTCTTGCAATCCACTCTGCTCTTCTTTTGACTATCTGTCTTCGTTTCGCCTTTGACATTTGTTTCTTTGGGTATTGAAGATGTGATATTTTTTGAATGTCAGAGGTGTAAAGTCTAGTCTGTTGGCTTGTATGCCAGTTATATCTCAGAAGACATAATACATGAAAATACACACATATGATATACATATATATATATATATGTGTAATGTAGAGGCGCACATAGCACAGTGGTTAACAGGAGCCTTGTGATACACACGTGGTCGTTAGTTCGATCCAGCCTCCTGTTGACCATGCCTTCCATTATTCCGGGGTCTACAAATTGACACCATACTTGTCTAGAGACATGACACTGCTGACTAGGTACGTCCTTAGGCCAATGTAAATTACTGTATAAGTCAGATATGCAACCAGACACTTTTAACGGCACCTGATAAAGGTGGAGGCGTAACGCTTGACTTAGGGATCGATCAGCGCCGAGTGCTGTATGTTGCATCCTACATATATGACATAGATCTATACTTTCGTACTGTGAAGTCCGATAACTGTTAATATCTGTTTGGTTATCACAGCATATCTTCATATGAAGAAAGCAGCACTTCTGTGCTAACTTCACATTCTGATTGCGCGGCAAGTGGTCGGTTGCCACGAAAAATCTTTGAGAGATGCATTAGTCTTCGGTTCATGACTACCCTGCAAGAGTAATCCTGCTCACAGCTCGGGTATACAAATTTATCTAATTCTAATGTTTCCGGATTACGCTCTTTGTTCCTCACTTGAATCCTTACCATGAAATGAATCGCAATCGCTAGCCTTTTCTAGCGGGTTTGCCAACATATGGACGAATACATCGGTCTACACTCGCGTAACGGTTGGAGATCTATTTGCATCGGAACAGGTGCTCAATGAGTTTGAAACACGTCAAACTTCACTTTGCAGTTTATTTTTCATCGAGAGGAGATTCTACACTATCATTGATATAGTTTTTCGGCGGTGTACTTACAGGGAACTGTGAAGCAAATAGTGTCAAGGCCGTCGTCCACCTTCTTACAGCTTAATCCCAATGCTAACCCTTTTAAACAGGCTTACAAACGTATTCGGCATCTGCCACCGTAAGTTCAAATTTAGTTACCTCTGATTATTTTCTCCTTATCCGACTATTATCGCAGCTAATTCGAATAGCTCATTTGGCTGATACTCGACACTCGAACGGTAAACTCAGCACTATATGAGAACAAAAGATTATACATTAGTTCTTTAAATAGCCTTCAGCCATTTCTCTGAGCAATTTTTCCTCTGCATGTCGACCACCTCCATGACAGTGGGCTCCTTTCCGTTCCCAAGCATAATTTTTTGACAGGAGCACAAATAATGGTGATATATCTGGGTATGGTATAAAACTGACCTCATCAGAAGGCGCTTAAAGAATTCCGTTTGTTGTTTTGCATTCGTCATACATAAAGGACTTCGGAATTGCGCATATGTTCGACTTCTACTTTAGGACTTTGCCTTCCTCACGATTGAGAATGGATAGATCAATGAACGACTGTGCATTGCATTCAATACGTATAACAAAGTAGGCGTGGTCATGTACGTTTAGTCAGTTTGAAACGTCTTTCTGATACCAAAGTGAAAACCAATCGAAATGATTTTACAGATAACAGCGATTTTGTTCAAGCTACCCATGTTAATCGTAACACTACTACTAATGGATTTGTCAGTGGAGGAACGATGTATTTCGATGACCCTACTGCTATGACGCATTCCGAAGAAGTAGAAGATAAAGTAAAGATTGTAGAAATGTCAAAGTAGTGTCTTGACATAGTACTGATGATTATAGATTTTTGACTGCTCAAGAACAATATGAACCCGATAAATCTCTTAGTGCAGAACGGACACGAACGGAATCTGATAGGGCGGCTGAACTGCTTACGTTAGTGTTCATGTTTTCGATTTATGGGAAAAATTAGCATCTTGTTGTTTTTCTCTTACCTAAAGTTGTTCCTAGAACCCCACCAAAAAGAGATATTGCAAAACTGTTCTGGTAAGCAGCAGGTCGGTGGATATTTATACGAAAACATTACCTTCCAAGGCTAAACATGAAGGTAAAACAAGTCGCAGTCCATTTAAATTACGGCGACTTGCAGACGCATCCTGACAGTCATGTCTTTTCATTCCCGTATTTCCGTCTTTTCACATTCCTTGAATGTCTTAGGATTGAAACGTTATATCACTATGCCAACAATATGTCTTATAACGCACACACAATAAATCTAAATAGTTTTTTTAATAGATTGGTGGTTAAAGAAAGAAAGGTAAAAAATACTATCGATGGTTCGATAGGATCAGAAAACGCTACCCTAATGAAATGAGCTCTTTTTCGGAGCACTGAGCCACAGAGGAACCTATGAATACCGGCTTCTGCAATTACGCTTCAGGTTTCAACTTTATTCTGACATCCGCACATGGAGGGCAGTTGTTTTCTGGAAGATGTAAGAGCAAGCCACAAATGAATCTTCACAACAGATATATGGGAGCTGTTAATGATTGA